ATTAACCTTAATCCAAATGGATGCCAAGTACGTTTGTATTTAAAAGTTTATATTTAAATTCACGGAGCAAATTAAAATCGTTACAAAAATGTGCAAATACCCGCTGTATAGCTAGGAGATCAGCTAGGAGCTGATGCTTTTGTGTCTAGAATATTTTTGCTATATATGAAGTGCATTCCGTACGAACTAACTCCACACCATTGCTTGTGTTAAACATACAAATATATTTATCGATGAGGAATTTCTGGCCAACGTATATATGAAATAGATTCCAGACGGATATACTCCATACCATTGCTTATGTAAATATGCTAGTATATTTATCGATCATGAGTTTCTGGTCAACGTATACACGAAATAGATTCCAGACGGAAAAAGCCCATCAGCGGCCGAGCGGTAAAGTCGCTGAACACTGGTAGTTCCGTCCGAGGTTTGAATCCCGCCAACCGGCTGGCTGCATGGGCGTTTTCGTGGTTTTCCCCATGTGTAACGTGTATACGAGCAAGTTTCCCTTAGAAAGTCCTCCACGAAGGCATCCCTTCCCTTAGGAAGATAGCCCTAGTGTGCTTTGTTTCTAATAGTGTTCAATTTCTAATAGTCTAATAGTGCAAGTGTGAATCTAAATAAAACAAACCAAACCAAACCAGACGGAAAAAATCAATATCATTGCTTATGTAAATATACAAATATATTTATCGATCCCGAATTTCTGGTTAACGTATTTTCTGTCTACGTAGTGTCATTGATGAATGTGCAGTGCAAAAAAAAAAAAAAAAAAAAAAAGTGGTCAGTTCTATATCTATTCTTTCTACTGGGTCCATTGACGAAATTCAACTTGCGTTTTTCATGTCTTGAAAGTGTGACTTAGGATATATATTACATTTATATATACAATTATTCTAAAATAAACTAAAAACTAAAACTAAACTCAGTGGCGTAACAGCCCTAAAGCTCCGTTCAGACGGGAGCGTAAAGGGCATAAGTGGTTAAAGACGAGCTCCGTTGCCAAGGCAACCAGTCTGTGCTACGTCACAAAATCTGGTTTAGGGCTCGTGGCATAGGGTTCAAAGTTTTCAACTTTACAACGAGTTTGGGATAAGAGTCGACCGAGTTTGGGATAAGCTCTGCTTAGCTTAAACAATACAAGCAGAGAAAACGCGGGAAATCAATCGAACAGGAGAACAGTGCGGGAAAGTTGTAGACACATCCACGCATGCGCAAATTTAGCTTCTCTCATTGGCCACGGCTTTCACCCCGTTCTCGCAAGTGTGAACGGAACTCCCATACTTTATGCCCTTATGACTATGCCTCTATGCCTTATACGCCGCCGTCTGAACGCAGCCTAATGGGAAAAGGCCTGCAGTGCCCGAAATCTGCTTTCTTGATCGTGGGCCACGGGGTACTTAAGCATATGCCCTGAACAAGAGGCCAGCTTGTCGCAGGACCCCCCTCCCAGTGTTTAGTCCCCAAACAAACTTATTACTCATTTTATCTACCCAAGTGATGAAAATGAAGGGATGAAAGACTGAGTCGATCTTGCCCAGCCCGGGAATCGAACCCTGGACCTGTAAGGCTGCTGCGCGATGTGCGATGGGCTTAGCATTATTCTAACATAGGTGTTTTGACACGAAATCGAACTTTTACTGAAATAACATACCAATATTTTCCATATTTCGATTCTACGACTCAAATTATGCCAAGCTGCGAAGTTTTGTAAAAATCGCATGAGTAATTTTTTAAAAATTAGCTCTCAAAATTTATATTATTTTATTCTTCCTATCACATTTCGAAATTTAGGTTCATTCCAAATAAAATTCGCCCTTTTTTTATGATTTATTTTTTTAATTTGTATTTTTAAATTATTTTTATAAATTTTTCGTAAACAATTTTCAATTATAAGCTATAAAAATTTTAACATCATCTTAAGTAGATGTATTTCTAAGCATACCTGCAAAAATTTCGAGTTCTTTATTCAAAATTTCCTCAGATATACGGGAAATAACATATTGGCGCGTTTTGAAATTTAGTATATTTGTTATAAGCGATGATAACGCCAAATATGATTTACGCAGTTTGCTAAAATTATTCGAAAGTATTAACGATGACTTTTTTTCTTCTCGTCTGCAATGAAAAAAAAAGGAAAGGAAAATAGGTTGCTATAAATTAAGTAGTTCCCCAAGCGTTTCTTTCTTGGGTTTCAGATTTTAAATTACATCCAGAGGAGCGTTTTTTAACGCTTTGTGTCTTACCTTTATTTATTAAATATCATGTTCTTCGCACTTAAACCATAAATTTCAGTTTGTTAGCAACATCGCAAAATAGTTAGTTTTAAATTGAGCCTATCTTTAGATGTTCTGGTTCAGAGTCTCGCGCGCTGGAGATAAAAAACACCATTGTTTGAAACAGTTTGAAAAGCGAAACGGACATTTATAGTGAACAAACGCAAAATCGCAAAACGAAAACAATAATCCTTCAGAGACCAAACCCCTTTGGTCTCTGACTTAAAATAAAAAAATAATAATAATAAATAAATAAATGAAAATTTAAAAAAAAAATCTGAAATGTTTCAGATTTTAAATTACGTCCAAAGGGGCAATTTTTTTAACGTTTTGTGTGTTACCTTTATTTATTAAATATCATGTTCTTTGCATTTCAAGCATAAAATTTAGTTCAATAACAATGTAGCAAAATAATTTTAAAATGAGCATATCTTTAAAATTTCCGATACACAGTTCCACGCGCTGGAGATAAGGTTCCCCCCCCCCCGTAGAGTGTTGCCATTGCTCGCTTTGATATCGTTGAGTTTGTTAATCAAAAATTCGTTAAAGTTTTACAAAATATGAAATTGATAGTAAAACAAATTCCAAATTTGGGATTTATTTTACATATAATAATGGATAAGCATATAGTATCTGCATGGCAGACAGATACTTGAAATACACTGCAAGCCAAATCCTCTCCAGAGGTTGGTGGTAGGGGAAGACAGGTAGGTGGCTTTCGGACCTCATCCCAGAGTGATTTTCCTCAGAATTTCATCCAAGGCGATAACTAGCAGTTAGCAAGGCCCGACGATACCTGCTGTTTGAATGTGCAAGTGCTAGTATTGCTTCTGCATGTACCTATATCGAAATAATCGTCTAAGAAATCGCAGTTGTATGCAATTTCAAAAGCCGTTTTGATTGCTTAATGCCATAAAATCATGCCATAAAAATATGTCTCCGTAGATAACAGATTATACGATTACTGTAGTATTTCAAATATTCCCCGCTGGCTGAAATAGAAGAAAAACTTGCCTTCGGTAAGAGTGGAAGCAAATGTTAAAATTGCTGACTAAAAGTCCTAAACATTTTTACATCTGCCCTTCCTCTTTAGATGCTAAATTTTAAATTTTGGATCATAAAACTGATTTTGTACATACGTTATTTCTGCTATTTGTACTGTGTTTTCATTTTATCCTTTTTTCGTTTAATGTTATTTTATATTTCATGTGTTTTTGGTCTGATTCCATAGTTTTCTGTTTGGAGATCTAGGAAATCTCAACCACCACCTCCACAACAACAACAAAACAAAACAAAATGTTGACGTAATTTAAAGTTAATTGTTACTTTCGTTTACGAAAATATTTGTAATGTGGAAGAATGTGTAGTTCTCCGGGTCACCATTGTAGTGATCACGTGGTGGTATGCTCGCTTGGGGCTACTTAGCATACATATATATATATATATATGTATTTTCTTTTTTGAACTTTAATTCTTAAATGTTAAATTCTAATGGTACCACTTTATTGGAATTACTTTTGGGTTTGACTTTTACCCTTGCCTGCATGAATGACGAAACACGAATTGAATGATTGGAGAGTTTGGTTTGGAGGCAACTTCCCCTTGATAAGTCTGTCTCCTGCTACTCTACGATCATTCACATATGCATTTTAAAAAAAAAATTGTTTAATTTAATTTTAATTTATTAAATTAGTAGATTTATTTTCATGGATAGATTTTTGCACTTGATTTGCTTATGCTTCTGAATTTAAATGATATTGTAGATTAGTTCGAGAATTAAATCTTTTACCTGTTTGCATATTTTTAAATTATTTTAAATTATTTTGGCTTTTTCTTTTTTTAGAATTTAAATTTGCTTTTTTATTTTTTTACTTTTATACGTATTTGTTAAGAATTTAAATTGGTTTAAATATATATGAGAAGCCCAGCAGCGCACATATTTCGCATGCCCTTGAAGATGAAAATGATTATGGAATTCAATCCCTGGTCTATTATGTGGCAGCCGAGTAACATATCGATGTTCCAAAAGAGCTCCCGTGCAACAATTTATTTCGATATTCGAATTGCTATATAATACTATCATTTAACTCTCAAGATCACTGCAGATTCACATAAGAAGTATTTTTGCAAGCTATTTTTATCTGTATCCGCACTTCTTAATGATCTGCATTTTTATTTTTTCAGCAGTTGATCCGTATCAGGTAATTTACAGCATGGTTGAAGATGTTTTAATGCGATTTTGTTCAAAGCGAGTTGTTTTGCTTTAACGCAACATTTGTATCATAATTAAAGATGTTTGAGCTTGACTGTTTCAAACTTTATTTACAAAAATTGTTAAATTGTTTATGTACCGTCTAGTAATCGCATTATGAACCTTTTATTTGCTAACCTTTTATTTACTAGGATTTTATTGACCTTTACTGTTCTCTTTTTCTTCACGATAATCATTTTATGGGATAAATTAGAAGCGATGCGCACTGTTGTAATAATAATTCTGTTTGAGGAGAGTAACCCTGCAAAATAAATGAAAAATGTAATTCGAAACGTTTTAAATAAGATCTGTTAACTGTGTAAGTGGTAAACAAAGATATTATTGTATCCACGAGGGATATTCATAGCAGAAGTTTGAAGTTGTCAAACAACTTTAAAAATTAATGCAGAAACTTCTCAACTCATCTTGCTGTGCGATGAAGTCAAAGTACTGAACTTGTCGGAACTGGCATTAGGAGCAGTGCAGTCTGTTGCCGCGAAAGCTGTTAATGTGATTTAAGTGTATGTTGTAATTTGTTTTATTGTAAATGTTAAATTATTTTGTGGATCTGTTGGACTGTTTCGTTTATTTATTTATGTTCAAATTTATACTCACGTGTAGACACCGGCAGAATATATTTATATATTATACTAAGATTCATGCCGTTGCGGCTGGCTAGTTTTTTTGATTTTAGGTGAGCTCTGAAAAGAGTTAATGGAACCTTCGTGTGTACCATTTGACTTTCTTACCTTGTGATCTGCTGTTTCATTATTAGAACCTTTCTTTCAAGTGTACAAGAATGCCACTATACGAGAGGAAAGCATTTGAAAGAAGAAAAGCACCGAAAGATTTAGATCCAAATGAAGTTTTATTTTATTGTAAAGCTACACATGAAGCATACCGAGATTATGAGTAAGTACTGTCTTCTAACCTATCTACGTCATTATTTCGAATTACGCAGTGTGGGTAATTGATATTGCGTGTTAATATCATTAAATATTTTGCATTTAATTGTTGTGGACAAAAGTATTTATGCTGTAATAAAGCTTGTTTTATGTTTGTTTGTGTAACAGTCTTCGTGTGTTTGTCTATACATTAATCTTCTTGGTATTCGATAGGCTTAACTGTAGTAGGTTTGAATTAATATATTTCTAGATAAACGATGAATACCGATCATTTGATGTTATGGTAACTAAAAAAATTTCTAATTGTGATACGGAGATTTAACGATAATTCTCATATTGTACTCATTTTTGCATATGCATTATTTTTAACTGTACATGTGGGTAAATTTTACAATAGTATGTTAATTAGTTGGTTTCGATGCAATTATTGAAAAAGCAAAAACCCGTTTTTTAATTGACTTTTTTTGCTCTCCACTTGAAGTAGTTTCTTAATTAATTCGGTGTATATAGCGAAAAAAGGAGCTTGTGTAAATTTTTTTCAAATGTAAACGGTATTTGTAATTTCTAAAACATTTATCTTAAAATTTTAAATTGAAATTAAAATCTCGTGAAAATTTAATATGTATGACATATGACTCTAGGAGAATTTTTGATGCAAAAGGAAGGGGGAAATGTGCTTAATATAGTCACTTCAATTAAAAGTATGTCGTCAATAAAGTAAATAATGTTAATTTATCATTAAAGTACTAATTGTTTAATGTATAACTTTTTTTTATCATTTATCTGCAATTGTAATTAAACTTGCACTGTTTTCATTAAATGTCTGTATTTTTGTAGTTGACTGAAATACTTGTCAATCTTTTTTAAAATGAAATGTGTAATATGTTGCAAATTTTGCTGTGAATTGAATATTAAGATAATATGCGGTATGTTGTAATTCAAAGTCATGAGCATTTCGTTACTGCAAAATTCTTTTTTTTATTTTTCCTGTGTGTATAATGCAAATGTTTTAGTGCAATTTAAAATCGTATTGATATGTGAAGTTTAAAGGGAAAGAAAAATATTTGCATGTATTTGGTAGTTATTTTTTATACCAAATTTAACCATATAAAATTTGGTAGTATTTTCATGTATTTGAGATTATTGATCATATAAAATTTGGTAGTTATTTTTCTTCTGTAAGAGGAAATATGAGTAATTTATAAAAGGTTCACAATTTTTATGTGAAGTATAAATGTATCAATGTGTTCATTACTTTCTAAATTAACCTGTCCAGTGCTTGCTAATGTATTTCTAAATGTCGGAATGTAAAATGTAACTAATAATATGCAATCTCCGTTATTATCGAAAATAATTTAAGTATAATTTCTTTAAAATTTTTTAAATTGATTCATTATGTAATTCAGATTATTATCTTCAATTGGTTGATATATGTAGAAGAGATTTTAACATGTATTCTGCAGAGAAAAAAATGTCTAATACATAGCGCAAATATTTTACATAGACTAATAATAGCTCACCTTTGTTACTGCAAATAAGTTTTAATAAATCATAGTACCCTTATGAATTGAGGAATACAAATTGAGTACAGTCGGTAGAGAATGCAACAATGCTCTGGCACGCCTGCGTGTCGGCCGGTAGATAAGTGTGTTCGTTGCTGGCACGTATACGTGACAATCAGTGCGAAGGGGTTAATTGATTTAACTCTTTCGCATCAAAACCATCCAAAACGCCTGACCATTCAGACATCAGCAGGCCACCCGAACTCCTGAATAATTTTCTATTTAGTTCTTTTCCCCAACACTTTAGGGCGTTCCTCGTTGCTTTAAGGAGTTGTTAAATGACATGTCAATTATTCTTTTAAAGCGACTAAAAGTAGTTCTGTTATTTTAATGCACTTTCCTTTGTTTACTGTAAATTTTTAGCTATTGGTGCAAGTTGCAATCCTGTCCCAAAGGGAAACTGCTCACAATGGTGAAAGCATCCAAGAAAGAAGTTGTCGCTTTACTTAAGTATGTTATTATTAACACTGTAGCATTCTGCTTGTCATGGGGGAAGGAAATCCATTCCAAGAGAAATTCGTACACACGTCTGTTTGCGATGTTTGCGGAAAACTGATTTGGTCTTCTCTCGATGCGAAAGAGTTAAATTATTGTGTGAATAGTTATGAAAATTATCAGCTGTATTATTAGTAACATAAAAGAGGAACCTTTCTTTTTAATTACTCAGTTTGTTAAGCAACAATAATTTGAAAGATGAATTTTAAATGGCAGTGCTCCAAGAGCTAACAGTTTAAGTGGTTGTTGAAGTAAAGATCTTGTATCTTTTGAAATGGCAGGCAATGTACTTGATAAATAACCTGGCAACATAGCGTAATAGTACAGATACAAAAGCACAGCCAGCATATGTGCATTCCTTAAGATACTAGTATTTTAGGGGTCTGTCCCAGCTTTGATGATGAATATCCTAGAGGCTGGTATAAATTTCTCACCCCTCTTTTCCCCACCATCAACATCTTAAAAGGACTTTCAGCTTGCAGACACTAAGCATTTACAAATACCCATGCTTTCTTGATTTGAACTCAGCACATTGTTATAGCAGTCACTGGTACAAAAAGAGGTAAAAGTATATTTACAGATACCCCTTGGCAATTTTTGGCGGTACATGGATACCGAGTTTGTGCAATTCTTCGACTTGTTATTTTTACTTGTGTAGCAGCGATTTTGCGCCAAAAATCACCGCTACACAAAGCCAAATTAACAAGACAAAGAATTGCACAAACTCAGTGTCCATGTACACATCAGCCTATTTTCAGTTTTAAAAAAATCAGAAAATTGCATAAACTAGGCTTTGCACACTCCCTTGACTTTGTCCATGTACACATCAAACTATATTCACTTAAAAAGTCAAAGGAGTAGCTAACAAAAAAATATATAATCCCAATAAACTACATTTTAAATCAAACAATGAAATAACATAAAAAAGAAGTTCATCTTTGTACTACACATAGGAACTATCCACTTTAACGCATTTTCAGTCAAACAACATTCCATAACAGCATCCAAAAACTTCCTAAAATTATCTGAACTAGAACCTCTATACTGGCATCACCACATAAATTCACAAAATAAGTGTCAAAATTATCCTCCGTAGCTACGTTCAACCATACGCATTTCCGTCCTGTAAACGGGATACCTAATAATGGCTGCTAAGTAAACCTTCATTTGCACACCAAGTAAGGCTCTTTTCCCCTTTCTTTCCAAATCGTACAGAAACTTCAAGTTAATCTTACCACATCCAGGCACTTTACTGTCTAAACCACAAAACTGGCAATGTATTTCCTAACCAACACACACCACAAACCCTTACAAATTTACCGCAATCATGCAACTGATTATGTCATAACAGGGTTTCCGTAACATTCAACTACTCAGGCTACCATAAATGAAACAACAACTTTGCAATAATACAAGGAGTACCTTTCTGTCTACTCTGACCCCAAAATGTACAAAGATATCCAGCATGTCGAACACAGAGGATGCAGGTGTTCCTTGAGCGATTCTTATGGTGCCCTCGGTTCATTCTACGAAAATAACAAAAAGTATGTAATACTAATCTGCTAAAAGAAAATTTGAATTCCACCCCACTTCGGGCATATGTGTAAACTTGTGTACTAAAAAGGACTCTTGAGAATATCTCTTTGTAAAAATAGTTTAACAGATGTTAAGAAAGAGTCAGCCTCTTTACAGGTGCAGCTCAAATGCAAAGCACAAATTTAGTGAAGTAAATAATCCTCAGTAATACAGGTGCCCATGTAATTCTCACATAGCTATAAATTTTGTTTTAAAACTGTTTTTATTTAGACTATCTGCTGTCATTGATTATTTGGCTAATTACCTCTGCAGAATGATGTTTCATTGTAGTCATTTTATGTGTTAACCCTTTCCAGATCGCACACCTTTGTTTAAAATGTTCCTGCAGGACAGATAGGAGTTGAAAGGAATCATCGTGCAAGATTGTTATTTCGTGTTACTATGCCTAACTTTAGAGGGGGGGAAGCTATCAGATTTTATATTACACCCAAACGGCAATTTTTATCATTTACAGACAAACACATTTTGAAAGCATTTGCGCTGATGCCGCATTTAAAAATCTTTAGAATTTCTGATAGGCTGTGTCGTATGTTGGAAATAGAAATGTTTTATTCCCTACAGTGTTGCCATTGCTGGCTTTGAAATTGTTCAGTTTTTTAATCAAAATTCATTGAAGTTTTACAAAATATGAAGTAAACAATTAAGCAAATTCCAAATTCGGACTTCCAGGTGCCCATGTTCTGGTGGAGGACTATATTATTCAAAATTTGATGATTGTAGGTACCTTTGCTTTTTCACAGTGCAATACATACATTATGTAGATTCTTCATTATATAATTTCTTCAAATGTAATGCAGGGCAACAATTTGAAAACTGATTCAGATATTTAAAGTGATTTGATGCAAAATGCCAATTTGAGACTATATTAACTCTTCCATTTGAGCTAAAATTATTTAAATCGTAATGTAATAATTTTTGGTACCATTTTAGATTACTACTGAAGTTGATCATACATGTTAAAATTAGCATTTAATAATCTTTTCCGACAACTTTGCATATATATATATATATATATATATATATATAAATTGCTTAGTTTGAGGAATAATTTTTGGAAGTACTGTCAAATTATTACAAAATTTTATTTGGTAAAATATATTAATAAACTTTAATTAAAAATACAATAAAGATTATTTACAAGAAAAAGTAGCACAATCTTTCACTGCAAGTGGAAGGCAGGCTCTCAGTGAGCTCAATCTCAGATAAAATGCCCATATGGGAATTACTAGAAATCTCTTACGCTTTAGTAAATGAATCATTGCTCTCATCAATGTTGCTGATTGGCTCGTTTACCATGTGAGTGTATCTTTCCTCTGGTAAATAAGGCTTTCCGAAATAAAAAGAGAGGTCAATAAAAGCAACACAGACTATAACAGAATCCCACATAGTAAACCTAAAACACCCTGCAGAATAGACAAAAAAAAAAAAAAAAAAAAAAAATTGCAAAGGGATATCAGAAACATAAATGTTTGTGTTGTGGTGAGTTAAAGAGCCAAGCTCTGTTCGTTTACATTACTCTGCTCTCCTGCAACACTGACACCAATGTTAGGCAGAATGTAATCAAATTGAAGGTCAGGAATCTAAAACTCTGTTCTGTTCAAAAGTAATGGATAGGAGAGAGGCATCTAATGGTCTTAATAAAATGGTTCAGCTTAAAATATCTATATGCATCACCCATCCCTTATAGCTCATTCTCCATTGATGCATGGATGGGAGGCCCATCTGGAAAGGGTTTAGTAGATCTTTAAGGCAAATGAAACTTCTGAAACTTTCCTCCATTTGGGGGTGGGGTTGCCATATGTTTTTAGTGGGTACAGGTGCATTTAAGAAGATGTGTATTTAATCTTGTTCAGTTTCCATAGTTAAACCTGCTGAACTGTTCACCCATGTGCAGAAGGTTAATGCATGTTATGTGGGATAGATACCAGAGAGCTAAATGGAAGGCACAAAAATATTCTTTAAGTTAGCTTCCAACTATTTCTAACTTTATTACGTACCAGAATATGCTTGCTTGAGCTTCAGTATATAATTCTTAGCTGAAAAGAAGTATTGTGGGACTACAAAGGAGTTGTGTTTGGATGCTGTGAGTTTCTGCCAGTTGGTGGTTTTAAAAGCATAAATTGATGCAAAGTGTCTGTCCTTGTTTCATCATTGTAATTCTCAGCCTCGTGTTTTGAAGACTTGCTGAGAATGGCTGGGATATTTTGTGTCGCTTCCTGCATATTCGTCAGACCTTGTCTCCTCAGACTTTTCATTTCTTCAATTCACTTCAAAGTTCCAAACAGCCTGGAGTCAGGAAAACAGCACCTTGAAGCGTCTTTATGAATAGAAATTTTCCAGCTGCTGGAGAGATGACAAAAGTCATAAAACAAAATGGTACTTACGTAATTCTATGAAATTTCTTTGTACTGTTTCACATGTTTTTTTTTTTATCAAAGAAAAAAAACTCCCGAACTCTCCAGATGATTCAGCATGTATGTTTTAGCTTTGATAGCTAAACCTATTTTTTTTTATATTAATTTGTTTTTCCTTTGTCATTTATAAAATGCTGAAATTCTTTTTTTTTTTGAACAGTCAAAATTATTAAAAATTTGACAAAATGCAGCATTAGATTGTTATAAAAATGTTGAAAACAATCAAAAGCATATTATTGCCTATTTGTAAGCTTGATTTGGCATGCATTTGTTTCACTCATTGTTCTTAGTAGCTTACAAATATAAACCATACTTTCTGTGCATTTAATTTTTCTTAAGCTATGTACTGTTATAATTAATATATGTATGTACCTAACATTTTTATATTCTGTGTATTTATATAATTTAATAGGGGATGGCCTTTGATGGGGCAATGTATTTTTGAACATTTTAAGAGCGGATTGAAGGAAAATGTATGTTCTGCTCCTGATATTTTTTGTTTTTGTATTTTCAGACCCTTTTTTGAGCGGGTTATCTTGTGCAACAGCTTGGTGTGGACTTGTGCTCTTACTGGAAAGCCTAACTTGACTTTTCAGGAAGCTATGGAATCAGAAGCAGCAGCTCGTCATAGCCTGAAAACATTCCCTAATGCTCTTAAAAAACCAGTTTTATATCTTGCTTCTCTCACTCAACGTACACGTTTAAATGATATGTGTGATGATGTGTTTATGTATGTGAAAGACAGGTATTTTATAGGTGAAGAAGTAGAAGTCACTTTTAATGGTGTTAAGTAAGTTTATTTTGAGTATTTTTCATCTATTTATATATTTTATATGCACAATGTATTATTTAACACACTAATATGTGGCAATAAAACTAACTTGCAAGTACAAAATTATGGGGGGGGGGAAACAGATGTTTGTAAGAATTACTTAAAGGTTGCATTGCTGTAAAATATGATGTATTCTATCTAGTTACTGCTCAGTAAGACTTCTTTTAGTGGTAGATATTGGAAGCATGCACCATTTGTTTGGGTTATTTTCTGTGGAGGGGCATTACTGATAAAAGGGCAACACAGCTTTTATGTTCCAAATGCTAGGTAGTAATGGCTTAAAATATCCTTGATTTAATATTTATTTTTCAAATTCAGCAATGCATTCCCATGGCAATAACATGTTATAAAAACTAATATTTTCCAATTCTCTAAGCTTTCCAAATACCGTATTTGACGGCATAAAAGACGCACTTTTTTTCCTAAACTTGGTCTCAAAGTCTTATACGTGAGGACACAGTCTTATACGTGAAGGTAATTGCATTCAATAATTGTTTATTTGGCTTTTATGAAACGTGAGAACTAAAAGAAACCACGCTATTGAAACTTTTTTTCCTTGTGTGTGGCCGTATAAATAAGGGTGCGTCTTATATGCCGTCAAATAAGGTACTGCTAAAAAAATATATATCTTTTTGGGAAGAACTTTAAAATTTTCCTTTTTGTCAACTACCACCTTGCTTCTTCTTATAGACATCTGAAAAATATAAAAATGATATGTGGAAGGCCCTATATATATATGTAGAATTTGACTTAATTCACAGCATGAGAGCACGAAGTAATATTTAAATGGTTTATTTAATATAAAGAAATAAAAGTAATTAAGAAAAAGTAAATAAAGATGAAGTTTAACGGTATGCAGGATTACATAATGATGCCACCAGTCCTTTTACACCTAAAGGCATAACATCAAAAGCACAATCTAAATTCATAAACTCTTGAAGACGATGAGCCGTCTGCTCACGTCCGCCCCACTCTCGACGGTGTCAGCGCTATTCTGGGATGATTCTTACTGCGCTGGGTGCTGCGATACTGATGACGTCATAACGGGAAATTCTAATTCAGCATTGGACGTTGTTTCCCCCACATATATATATTGTTTTGGTGTTATGAGTTAAAAAATTTAATATTACCCTAAGAAAAAAAATTTGATTTGTCTGATATTTGTAAAGGAAAGTAATATTAATTTAATTAATTGATTCTTTTTAGTAGTCTAGTATTAAAATTAATTAAACTATAAACAAAAGATATTAGATGAGTAATTGAAAAATATTTTTTTACCTAATGCGGCCCTTTGAAATACCCAGTGTTTTTTTCAGAAAATGCAGTTTAATAAATGTGTTTTTTAAACTGCTGAAAAGTTTGAAATGTTTTGTGAAAACAGTTTTTGAAAGTAAAGACAGAATGACTGAAACAAATATAAATGTCACTTTTGCTGTGTTATGTAAAACATTTCTCTCTTTGGTGTTGATATTTGTTGTTGCTGATAAGGCAGTGATCAGTTCTGCATAGACTCCACTTATTATGGTTTTTTATATTTACTTTCTTAAAAACTAAGGTGGAATTTTTTTTTAAATGAAATTTTTTTAGAGGGATAAGAAAAATGGTTTTTAAAAGTAAACCAGCATATTCATGGTGTTGCTGACACTGAAGATTAGCCAATTGTGTGATCAGAAAGTTCTGGCCCTTATCTTTCCATTAAAGCACCTTGCGTTGGGCTTGTTTACCCTGTCTTAAAAAAAAAAAAAAAAAAAAACTTTTAAAAAAAAATATGATGAGACAGTAGCAATTTTTCTTGTAGTTATGGTTAAACTGAATTTTTTTTTAGTTTGAAATTTTGGGCCTTGAATAAGAAAATAAAGCTAGAAATTAAAAGACCATATTTAGCAGAATTTAGATCTGCAAAAGGAAAATCATGCATTTTGCACTTGACTTTATCTAATTCAGAATTTAAACTTGCAAAGTGGGCTATAATCTTTACATTTGTAATTCATAAATGAATTATACACATATACACTACACACATACCTACATATACATAAATACATCCATACGTACATACATTTCTGAATCTGGTCCTCATAACAGAGAGTATCTATATTTTTGTCTCTATCTATAATTTACTTTTTTTTTTATTTATTTGTACTTTAAATCCCATTAAATGTAAAATTTGGGGGAAATTCCACCAAAGCTGCAATTTTTCCTATGGAATTCTGGAGGAAATGATGCCTCTTTTTTTGAATAAATTAATAGTATTCAAGCTTTTTTTTTTTTTTTTTGTGGTGTGTGTGTGTGCTTTGTTAAAAAGGCTTTCTTTTATTTGTATTGCTTTATTAGACCCTTCAATTTTAGCAGAATCTCTGTTTAGAATGCTGTAAATGCAAACTTGTACAGGTAATTGTTACACTCTATTGCTGTTTTGTCAGCTGTAATCAGCTGACCATATCATGCCTTTTTATGGACAGGTCCTATAACTGAAAATAATTCACTGGTCATTGTTCTGGCCCCAAATTTTAATCTTTGTTTCCCCTTTCAAAATATAAGAAAAATACAGCACTTGCAGTTAATGTATTTCCTTATTCATAAAAGCTAAAGGTGGCATGCCGAGAATCAGTCAGGGTTACATCGTATGAAAGCTTAGATATTATGAGTTTGTTGGTAGATCATGCTAGTCTGTAAATGGCTCTTAATCATCCTGCTTTATAACAATTTCACAGTCAACAGGATAATACGTGAGTATTTTATTTATTATTTTTTTTTAATTTCCTCATAGAAATCAGATCCAAAAGCCTTATAAATTTATATTAGTACTCTGGTCATCAGAATTAAAGGATAAGTACCAGAAATAAAATGTAACTAATACTTAATGAAAAATTATTAATAAAAATTTGTACAACAGCGTTAGTTAACATAAATTACAATGTTTGGCAGTTGATTATTCACAAAGTATTGAAATTAAAACCAAATTTGAGGAAATTGGCAAATGAAAAATTTTTCTCTAATCGGGTGTAGGATCACCCCGGACAGATATGCATACCTCATATCTTGATTTCATAGACATTAACAAAGTGTTAAGCCAATTGTATGAGTCTTGTGGAATTGCATGCTTCTCTTCTGACAGTGCACTTTTCAGCCCCTGGAGGGTCCGGCAGGAATTTGATGCTTTAAGGCATCCCACACATGCTCGATCAGGTTCAAGTTGGGTGAGTAAGGTGGCCAATGTATTCGAGTGATGATATCTTCTGTCTGCAAGTATTATGACACCATGTAGGCTCAATGAGGCCAAGCATTGTCATCCATTAGCAAAAACTCTGGCCCAACAGCATCCCTAAACAGTCTAACTTTGGGTTCTAATACCTTGTCCACATATCTCCGAGCAGTTACAGAACCTCCTTGAAAGATATGCAACCATTTGTCATGATTCCTCACCAAACTACAGTCGTGGAAGTGGAATATTTCATGGACAAGGGAAGGTAAGTTGTGTGTTCTTTCCTCTTTCCAGATTAAAGCATATCTAGAATCACTCTTCAGACTATATCTAGACTCGTCAGTAAACGATATTCAGGCCTAGTCGTCCTCGCTGCATTGAAATTAACGACAGTACCAGTTCGAACGGGCCTCCTCTGGAAGCAGGAGTGGGTGGGTTGCAAACCATTGGTTATCTCGCATACAGTCCAACCTCATTAAGCATTCGTGCAGCAGAACAGCTAATTCGAGTTCATGTCGCAGCCTGAAGGTCTAAACCCAAATCTCTTCTAGTCGCTTCGTGATTTCTTTGAGCCGACAACAACAGAAAATGATCTTTTGATACAGTTGTTGCTTTTCACCAGGCTGTCAGTCAACTGATCCTATGCTTAAAAAGTGGCTTCAAACTGTCAATATGATACTTTGAAAGATATTCAAGTGTTGGGCGACTTCCATTTGTGTTTGACCTCTCAAAATCCTACCAATTATTCGCCAATTTTGACCTTAACTTAAATGAATGCCTTTAAGCCATTAGTATTGAATACTGATAACTCTCAGAAATCACATTCACTTTAAACAGCCCTAGAGACCGGAATTCGAACATGTGTTCATTGTACACCACATTGTCAGTCTCTGAATTTGCATATTTCCGGCATTAACGTGTGCATAGAAATGCAGTTATGGGCTCAGTTGTATTTAAATAGCATAAATAGTTACAGCATTGGGCATTAGTTGCAACATTAACTTAGTGAGCATATTTTTTCTCATTATGCTTTAATTTTGATGACCAGTGTATGCCACTTGTAGATTTTAATTTCCTGTAGAGTTTTTGTGATTTAAAATATTGGCTTCAATAATATATTAGTAGATTTAGTGATTTTTTTTCTTGAGGAATAGAATGAACATGTCTAAATAAATATGAATATAATTTTTAAAAAGGTATTTTTAATTTTTTGTTTTAGATTTAAGGATTTTAAGTTAAATGTAATGAAACTAATTACATTTAATGGTTATTAAAAAGTAACATATGGTTATTTTTAAAAATATGCCTTATATGCACTTTTTTAAAGTTATAAAAGCGTTCATGTATTGACAACTGACAGGTTTTGCTTTAGGTTGAAGTCTGGGTCTGCTTTAAAATGTGAAATAAAAGATAGTAGTATTTTAGACTTTATTTTAAAAGAAATATTTATGATGTGCATGTGCTTGAAAGAACAAAATAAATAAATTTATAATATATATTGTGACTAAAATTTTTAGGTATAATCTAGAGATAATGTTAATTTTCTAAAGTTTGTTGGCAATAATTTAATTGATAACTCTCTGTATTAACTTTTGGGCACACTCTCAGCAGGCTTATGAGGAAAATATTTCAAACATTTGTTATGAATGAAGTTTTAATATAGTAATATCTGATTTAAGCATATGTTGCTGTATGAGACACTCTGATTAAGTATTTTTAACATTTTTTAAGTTTCTGTATCATATTATCATTA